TGAAATCTTCTCAATGAATCGCTTATTAATTTTCAACTGTTACATTTTTTTATCTTATTGATAATTAAAGATATTGTATTTAAGAGTTTTGCATTGGCATACATGCATAAGAAAAATGTTTCACTTATTTAAATACAGAGGCAGTATTGCTTAATGCAACAGGTCTCTTTGATATCATTTTTTTTTTTTTTTGGCAAATCAGGGTGCGGTTGTGCCTCTTTGTACCCCTTAGATCCGTCTGGCACCCCTAGACACAAGGGCGTCGAGTTAATGATGAGAGTAAGATAAGGACTTGTGTGTAATTGGGAGATCGTGGGAAAGGGAGAAAATTTAAAGGATGTAAAGAGCAAAATTGGAGCTAATTAATAATTTAAGAGAACAAAATTTAATTTGTTATGAGTTTAATTAAGTAATTAACCAAGGAAAAACACAATGCTTTATTGATAAATTTTAAAGTCACACAATACAATCAAAAGGGTAATATAAATGAAACACAAAAGAAACCAGACAACGAAAAAGCTGATCTCAAACAACAATGAAAAGGGAAATATAATGTGTAACAAAAGCTACACATAGCACACCATAATGAGCTCTACAACCAGCCTTGTTAGTTGTTACGTGCATTGTAGAGTTGATAGACTACTGATGTAGTACAATTGCATTTATAGGCACTGGTAAATACCGGCGAAACTTGAGCGCAAGTTAAGCCACTGTCAGGGCAACAATCAAAATAACCAGGGTTACATTCATGTCCAGGGTGCTCCTCACAAGGGCCGTCTTTGCATTTGTAAGTATTAAGCCCGACTTCAAGGCAAGATAGACCAGTGCAACATCCAAAATAACCTGGATAACACTCGTGATCAAGGTGCTCCTCGCATGCACCATCTTTGCATTTGTAAACACCGGGCTTAACTTGAACGCAAATCAAGCTTTGATCTTCACAACAGTATTCTGTAGTCGAGGTACATGGATCATCATATGCTGTACACTCATCTCCGGCATGGATTTGCTGCATCATCGCTAATAACATAAAATGAAAGACATGAATTAGTAGTCATATACTTTGTATATGTCTAACACAAATATATATTGAAAACGACAGTAGACTTATTGAATAAATGGAGTGAAGAAAAACCTAATGCAAAAATGGCAAGGGTAGCTAGCATGATTCTTTTGGAGGAAGCCTTATTTATCATTTTTGGTATTTTTTATAACTTTAATGTATCAAAACTATTTTTATGTGATGTACTCTAGTAGTGTAAAAAAGTGTTATTGTTTTTCTGTTATGAGTTTCATGTTATAATACTTGCTATTTATAGGAGCTTTGTTATAGTATTCAATTCTATGTTTTTTTATGCAACGAAAAGTTCATACTATGTCTCCACTTTTTTTTTTTTTTTTTTTTTTGGTGTTTAGAGAGCCACAGTACAAGGACGGGTGATGAGAATCGATCCCAAGATCTCCTTAAATCGGAAGGGGAGCTCTAACTACTTGAGCTATGCCTCACTCTCACTATGTCTCCTCTACGGAGTATGTGTCATCGAAATATTGTTCACTTTGCTATTTCTTTATTTGATTTATTATATTAGCAAATATCTAATAGATTATATATGTTTAACATTTAAGTATATACTCCATCTAGTAAGTCTGTACACATTCTATCAATATGGTATGATTTCATTTTGTTGACATAAAATGTTGCTATAATGAGGATAACACCATCAAACGGATTGCTTTGACTTTCTATTTTTGATATATTCCTTAATCCAAGCTGCAACGGATGAGGAAAATAAACAGATGGACATATAATAATACCTTGGCTTTTTTCTTTGTGTGTATACTTTTTTTTTTTTTTTTTTTTAAGAAGAAGAAGAAGAATTGTGTGTATACCTTATAAAGGCAGTGTTGTAAATAAGATTTTATAAAAAATATTTTTTTAAGAAAATAGGGTAATTTAGTTTTTCTGACTCGTTAATTGAAATAGTATAGTAGAGGGGCCGGGGTGTACCATGTGCATGGTACACCCGGAAGTACATTACATATAAATAAAATAATATTGGGATAAATTTAATGTTCTTTTATTTATATGTAATGTTTTTTTTTTTTTTGAAGAAATTTATATGTAATGATCTTTATTTTATATGTAATGTTCATTTCACCCCTTCATTCTCTCTCTCCTCTAGCTCCCTCTAACTTCTTCTTTCATTTTATTTCTTTATTTTTATAGTTTTTATGTACTTAATTCATCACTCGCAAACACATTTTTACTAGATTAAACACTCCAAAATCTGAATTTCACAACCAAATTTTCGGATTTTTCATGATTTGAGAATTTTTTATTTTGGCTAAAGAACTTGCAATTGAGTGTTCTACTTGATTCATTTCCACTATTAATTCACTTTACTTGGGTTTCCTACTCATTTAAGGTATGATTTCTCTTTCTTTGTTCATCTTTATTCTACTTCATGAATATGAAGCCCTAGGTTGTGCTTCAGTGGTGAACTTTCACTTTACTTGTTCTTTTTACCTATTTTTTGTGTTTTGTGATGATGTTTGTTTTTCATATAAAGCTTTATTATCATGAAATTACTTGATTGTTTGAATTTTTGGCACTACCATTGTTGTTCATGATCTTTTTCCACGGGTTTGGATAGTAGCATTTTTTCATTATTTATATGTAATGTTCTTTTTCAGAAAGATAATGTTCTTTTACTTATAAGTTATGTTCTTTTATATGTAATGTTCTTCATTTTATATGTAATGTTCTTTTTCAGAAAACATGATGTAATCTATGTTTGTTTGTAATGTATAATAAATTATTATAACTACGATTATTTTTATTTATAGATTATTTTTTGCTATTTATATGTAATGTTCTTTTATTTATAGGTAATATTCTTATTTATATGTAATGTTCTTTTATATATAAGTTATGTTCATTTATTTATAGGTAATGTTCTTCCAGGTCCATGCGCATGGTACACCTGCTTGTACCAAACAATAATCGCTCTTTAATGTGTATATTAGTAATTTTAAACATGAATTTAGACTTTTGTACGAAGTATATTGGCCGTCCTATTCGTCTCATTTATTTACACATACATTTAATTGTTTCAAGTGAGGGATCTTTGAATCAAATAGATTGGCATTGATGTTATGAAACTACTCAGATTTCAGCAAATAAACAACATACATAAACTACAATTTTTATATACTACCTCCGTTTATTATTATTTGCAACAATTGTACCTTTCACGGAGGTTAAGGAAAAAGTTTTTAAGCATAATTATTAAAATATAAGGGCATGTACTTAAACACTAATCCAATTAAAAAAAAAACAAAAATTTATCAGAACCACTAAAACCCAGAATCACCACCACCACCACCGAACCCACCGTAAACCACGACCACCGAACCCACCGTAAACCACCACGAATCAGATATGAACCCCTACAACCACCCCACGAACCAGACAAACATACAAACCCAAACCCACGAACAAGACAAACCCAGCCACCACCACGAACCCAACCCACGCCACCCCTACAAAACCAAACCCAAACCAGACCCACCCAACCACCACCATCAACCAGACCCACCCAACCACCACCATCAACCAGACCCACGCCACCCCACGAAACCAAACCCACGAACCAGACGAACCCATCCACCACCACGAAACCACCCACGCCAGCCCCACGAAACTCACGCCACCCCTAAAACCAGATCTGAAACCCCTAACACCCCCACGAACCAGAAGATTTGTTGATCTTGATGAGATCGTCGAGGGACATGTTCAATCATTTTCCATTGCCATTGAAAGATGTGGCGAAGAAGAAGAAGAAAATGTAGAGGAGAGAGAAAATTGAAGGAGGAAGAAAATTGGGGAAAACCAGAGAGAGAAAGTGGGAAGATGAATAATTTTTGGTGAAATTGATTACAATAATCAGATTTATTAGGTAAAAAGTTAAATTAGGTTAGTGATCTAAATAGATGTCTAAGTTGTTTAAGTAAGGGTAATATGGGCATTTTGTTGGCAAAAAATTACTAAAAAAAGAAATAAAAAAGTTTGTTGCAAATGATAGGAAGCGCCTAATTTTAGTAAATGTTGCAAATAATAATAAACGGAGGTAGTATAATACTTAAAGGACAAATGAAACATGAGCTTTGGAAGTTGATTTTGGCCTCAACAGATGAGTGAGGCTCAGGAGAGACCAATGATTCATACTTAAGCTCGCTCAGGAGAATAAACTTCATGCGAATCACCTTGATGATGATCACCACAAGAGGATCTTCAGCGCGAGTCTCACAAAATTCAAGACCAATTACCGCCTTTTGAAGCCTAGATTCGCATGGCTACCTAAATATATATTGCAAACAGGAAGAATAGAAATTAGTCACATATCATTATAATTATATTGGTGAAGCAAGCAAGCAAGATAGCTTTGCAAAGGAGTTGAAGGAAAACCTCAAGAGAGGACTGGATTTCAGACAGTAATATTGTAAAGGATTTTACTTCTGTCATCCTCTCACTGTCAGTTCTATTCACTTTCATTGCCATGACAAAAAGTGTGTCAATCTGCAATTAGGAAAAAAAATAAGCTCAAAACTTAAGGTTATACATAACTGAAACAATCTGGAAATTTTGAAATAGAAATGACTAGATTATAATAAGAGAGATAATATCGGAACAAACTAAGGCCCCGTTTGGTTTGATTTAAGACAATCATGAATGGCCCTGGAAAATGTGGCCACTAGGCAGGGGACTAAGTTGTTTACAGTAGCTTATTTCGCCATATTACTGTTAGTTTATCTTAATTCAGAATTCCATTCTCGAATTTACTTGGCATAGTGCATGTGAATGGAGGTAAGCTTCTTTGCAAGAGCAAAGTGACTATCACAAAGAAATGTTCCATGAAAAACCATTGATCTTCTTACTTTAGCCGAATATTATGTGCACAGTATTGTCGGTATTCTTCTTCATGCTAATCTGTCGGTTCCTGAATCTCGTAGTAAGCAAAATTTCATAGGATTAACATAGAAATAGTGTTTCTTAAGAGAGAACATATGAAGATTACACTTTAGGTGGCTTTAGTACTTGGAATAGATAGCAATAGCTAAAAACCACCATTTACAATAATTGATTTCTTTCATTTAGTTGGCATGCTGATTGTGGGTCACCTAAATGCATCAGGATGCACATTCGACTCATCACAGGATGCCTCCTCCAACATTTCCATAAATCCTTTGTGAGAAGTATCATTTGAGACAGGGAAGTTTAGACCATTTGTTGATGCAGCTTCAAACCTCGTCCACAGCTCCTTCTTCAAAGTGTTTTCACCAGGACGCTTGCCTCTGTAAATTGTGCTTTCAGACCCCTTCCACAAAGGAGTGCTTTCTACTGTTGCAAAGTTGCTCCTTGTGTTCCCTGCAACCGATACATCTTAATCTCAGATGGTATCTACAACGGCTTTATTTTAAAGAGACGAGTAAAAGTATCAAATTATGGTGAATAACATACCTTTTAAGCAAAATTTCTTGTTTTCTTCCTCTTGATTATGACCATTAGTTCTGCTTTCCTTGGGATCAAGACATAATTTCTGATTGAAAGTAGTAGCTACTTCTTGCAAGCTAGCATGATGCTTTGACTGTTTTTCATCAAGTGGTTCCAGCAACGTACAACATTTAGGTGGCGACGTTATCCATGCTGGTGAAGCATCTAGTGCTCTATTTCCATATGCTGACTTACAGGAGGGTTTTATTCCAATAAGATCAAGATACCTAATGCCCAACTTCTCTTGAGCTTCATTACTGGAGCTCTCAGAATCTGTGGACTCAAATATTTTTTGGTTTCCTGTTGGAAATGGTGTTGATTTATGGGATTTCACAATTTTTCTGTAGGTCAGCTCATGACCAGGCTCAACATAAGCTCTTACAGGGGGGTTTTTGGGGCAGGGGGTAATCAAACTTGTAGATAAGTCACTGACTGGAATTTCCTGAGCAGACAAAATTCTCATATCTGAAATGCTCTCTAAATTTTCAGAAACAACTTCGACCTTTTCCTTTTTAGATTTTTCGTTTGCACAAGGAGAGGAAAAAATAGCAGCAGTTACACTCGAGGAGATCCCTTCACAGACGGTTAGCTTGGTTGAAGCACGAGCTTTGGAAGTTGTTGTTTGTGGCCTCAGCAGAGGAGTAAGGAAAAAAAGTTGTTTACCTCTCTCTTCTACACAGCCAGTAGCACGCCAAGATACAAGTGGGGAAGGAGAGACCAATGATTCAAACTTAGCTGGCTCCGGAGTACCAACTTCATGCACATCACCTTGATCATCCACAACAGGACCTTCAACACGAGTCTCACAAAATTGAATCTCAGATTCAGTGTGAGGAACATCAATTGCCTTTTGAAGCCTAGGAACCCACGGCTAAATATGGTGAACAGGAAAGATACAATTAGTCATATATGATTGGTGAAGTAATCAGGCTAACTTGGCTGAGGATTTGAGGGCTGACCTTAAGAGAGTAATGGATTTCAGACAGCACTGTTGTGAAGGATTTAATTTCTGTAATCCTCTCATTATCAGTTGTATCCACTTTGACTGCTTGGACAACAATTTCATCAATCTGCAATTAATAAAAATATGTCTAAATCTTGCTTTTAACATCACAAGGGTCCAAATTCCAGCAAATTACACAACAAAGTCCACAGGCAATTTACATAAGAAATGATGGATGAATATGGTCCACAGACAAATTACACAAATATCGCACGAGTACAGCCATATAACATTCCAAGCATAGAAACTCATCATTTACCAAAGTAATAGGTAAAGTTGCAAGGAAGTGCATCAGACAAAAAGCATCATTTGTTATCCAAATGATAGACTATCCATCCCTCCATTTTCCTTCCCTTCCTTTCCCTCCATTTCCATTAATCAAAACAAAGTGTTCACGAGCATGCTCTAAAACTGAAAACATGCAAACGAAAGCCGATCAAATAACACAGACAAAGCTCAGTTGTGCAGAATTTATCCCCTCTAGCTCCCTGTGTGCACTACTGCACTGACAGCTCTTCATTTCCTCACCTACAAATTTCTCAATATTTGTCACCATCACAATGCCATCAATTTATATGAAGATACCAACAGAGCTGCATAATAGATTCTCACACTCTCAAACTGGACTAGTTTATTTTTTCAATCCCCAACCAAATAACTAGTGATGCAAAAATTTTAATACTGCAATCTTAAGTTATGAATTTGATCAGTATAGTTATTAGCTTCCTAGCCTATAAATTTAACACAGATTATGTGAGCATTCTGTAACACATGCAAATATTTGATAATAGTAATTCATTCGAACAAAAACCTCTTTAACATTAACATGTTCCATTACCAAGTCTAAGCTCAACTAAAACCTCACAAAGAAGGACCCTCATTGCAACTTTGATCATGCTTCATTCCCCTAACTTATAGACTCAAACACCAAAACAAGCAACCCCTAAAGTAAGCTCAATACATGTACTACTCTGTATAACACAGTTGCTGATGGAACCCCTACTTTGACTCCAAAATATGCTCATCACTTGCATATGCATTAGATAAAGAAGCTAAACTAATAAACCAAAATATTACAATACATTGGAAACTTGTAAGAAGTTCCAAGTAGCATACAAAGAAACCTAACTTGCACCAGAGTTGATCGACAAATACAAAAACATTCTCAATTGTAAGAGTAAATCTTACATTCGGACACCACAAAAGCAGGACAACTTTACATGCCTAAATCGGTTGTTTCCAATAATTCCAGTTAGACAGTATGATAACTGATAAGCCTTCAGAACTATGGGAATGTTCACATGCCCCTTATCTTCACTGAAAATTACCAAAACATATCTCGATTCTAAGAAAATCTTCCACCCAGCTATCCAGGCACCATAGGAGCAGGAAAACTTTATACCCTACCATCTAATTCTTGAATCATTCGAGCAGAACAGAGCGATAAGTACCTACGGAACTTCCGAAACACTCACTTTTACATCTAATCTAATATTATACAATCCCAACAACAAGGGCACAAAAGCTCTAATTTGCAGTTACTATTTCCAGGTATTCAATGTTACCCAAAGTATTGCTCAGCAACTTGCATTTTGAAAATGATAACAAATGTTGTTCAGTTACCAGACGTAAGCTCCAATTCAACCCCTAAAACTAAATTAAGAACCATACATTTTTCAGCGTTTGTCTTTGTAACAATAAAAGTCAGTACTATCACTGAACAAAAAATCGATAGAATATAATATAATCCAAAACATTATCATCATATATTTCTAAAATTTGAAGATTAAGGTATAACTATCCAAAAATCAAACATAATAAAGAAAATATGCATTTCAATCTGAAAACTTAGGGTTTTTATACTGTTTACAAAGATCAAACAATCTAAAAATTTTGAAATAGAAATTATTGGATTACCTGACGAAGAAGAGAAGAAATATCGGAATGAACTAAGAGAAGGCGATCAAGTGGGTCTGCAATGTTTGATTGTTGATTTTGGTAATGAGGAGGAAGTTCTTCCGCCATTTTCAACTTCGTTTTCTTCAAGGAGGATTTAATGGATTTGATGCCGCCATTAGAGACATCTCGCAGAGGTTTCCTCCTTGCTAATTTTTTTTTGCTGTCGCCGTCGGTTTTCGCCATCGTATTGTCGCTGTTTTCCGGTTGGATGTTGTAAAAGTGTTTGTCTGAGTTCAGGTGGAAGAAAGAAAGGCGGGCTTCTTATTTTTTCAAATTTTATTATAAGGATATATTTTGAAATTTTATTTGAAGAAGAAAAAGGGTAAATCCAAGTAAAGAAAAACCCTTAATATCAATTTTACTTTTTTTTTTTTTTTTTTGAGAAAATAATATCTATTTTACTTGCACTGTACATTAAGTACCGAGTAGATTTTATTTTTTGAATTTTTGAGTAAGCACGGAGTAGATTTAGTTTGGTTTACAAATTAGTCTTGCACAGCACGGAGTATTTTTTTTGGAACTTATATTGTCTTAATTTATTAACTGTTAATATAAAATTTTTCTTTGTTTATCTTATTTCTGTGTAAACTTTTATTGAAAAGAAAAACCTTATTTTATCTACACATGAGTTTTGTAAATTTATACTGTATACACAAGTTTTTGTGAACTTAATTTGTATGTACTTATGTCTGAACCCATATAATATGAAATAAGATAAAACAAAATGAAACAAATTAACATGCCTTTAATTAGGTCAATTTATCAAAAAAAAAAAATAATTAAGGACACATTAGGCTCAATTCTCTTCCCTTTAAAACAATAATATTATTTAATGTCGTAAAAAAAATTTAAGTTCAATAAAAATATTCCGTAAAATAATTCAACAAAGACCGATAAGTGTTTAATCTGTAATTTCAAGTTATTTATGTGATGTGTGAATAATTTTTATTCAAGTTAGTAAATAAACATGCTTAGTATGCATGTAATCATGTTATTATTATTTTTGGTATTTGTGGGTCAAACACTTTGAGAGTGAGGGGGGAAGGATAATAGATCTCTCACATTCAAAATGTTTTTAGTGAGATCAAAATGTTTTTAGTGAGGATTGAACCTCCAACCTCTAGGTTGGAAAATACAATTCTTACCACTAGACCAAGCTTAGCTTGATTAATGTAATTATATTATTGTACACAAAACTTTTTGAAATAAGGAGTTAAGTTTAAAATTGCACTACCTCCCCCTTCAAAAAAAAAAAAAAAAAAAAAAAGAAATTGCACTACCTCCATTCTTTTATGTTTAACTTACTTATTATATATACACAATTTAAGAAATTGTTAGAATTAGAAAAGAAAAAAAATAGGTTTATGTAAAAAAAAAAAAAAAAAAAAGTGAATAAAATAAGAAAGGGTATAAAAAGATGTAATTATTTAGGGGTTGAAAGGAATAAGATACTCTATAGTAAATATGCTGTAAATAGAATAAAGCAAAAGTATATCCATTTATGGCAAGTATTTTTTTATAAATGGAAGAAATTAGAGGAAAATAAAAAATAAAAAATAAAACTCCGTAAATCTAAAGTTGATGAAAGTGGAAGTTGTCCGATTGAACAAAGACGCAAAAGTAGCCAAGTTAACAAACTCAACCCTCACACGTATTTTAAACACAACTTCACTTTTCACTTTCACTATCATACCATCATCAATTCACCCCAACAATGGCGGAATTCTTCACAGAAATCCAACTCCCTCAACAAAAACACTACAACAATCACTCAATCCATTTCCCTCTAATTCTATCTCCAACTTTCAATTTCTCCTTTATCGACGCCATTAAATCCCACAAAAAATGGCTCGATTCCCGCCTTCATTCCGCCGGCGCTATCCTATTCCGTGATTTTCCGGTGTCAACCGCCGCCGACTTCAACGACGTCGTTGAGGCTTTTGGATATGAGGAATTCCCTTATGTCGGTGGCGCTGCTCCTCGGAGTAGCGTTGTTGGCCGTGTTTTTACCGCTAATGAATCTCCCTCTGATCAGAAAATCCCTTTTCATCATGAAATGGCTCAGGTTGTTTATTTTATTTTATGTAACTCAATTTTATTGCTCGGGTTTTTTATTATACACCCGGATGTACCTTTTAATGTCGCGTGCGTATTTGCTCATCGAGGGAGCTCAAATGAGCATGTACTGTGTCCGTAGTACTTAACTACTTAAGGATGTTTTATTAACAATTTAGGACTTTTGATTGTGTAATTGTCTGTTTTTATTAAGTTTAGTCAACTATATATTTTATTGATATGTGATGAAATACTTTATTTATTGAGTTATTTAATTCATTTTGTTGATGTTTAAAATAATTGACATTGTTGGATATTCTCTGTGTATTTTGTAACTCTGTATAGTCTAAAGGTTTGACTTTGCCACTCAATTCTAGTCAAAATTATTTGCTTCATTAAATTCAGACTGTAATTGTCATTTGGAGTAAATATGATCAGTAATTATGTTAGTTGTAATTCTGTCATTATAATTTTATGTCTTTGTAATTTTGTATGGTCACTTTGTAGTTTAATTATTGGGGGTTGCTTGCAGTATGTAATGTTGGAATATGTTAACAGGTTCCTGAGTTTCCGTCGAAATTGTTTTTCTATTGTGAAGTTGAGCCAAAGACTGGAGGAGAAACTCCTATTGTTCTTAGCCATATCATATATGAAAGGATGAAAGAAAAACACCCGGAATTTGTTCAGGAACTCGAAGAGCATGGACTGATGTATATTCGGGTGTTGGGTGAAGGGGATAATCCCGCGTCTCCTATTGGTCGTGGGTGGAAATCTACATTCTTGACAGATGATAAGAGTGTTGCTGAGAAAAGGTTTGTGGCTTATTTGATCTTTTAGATAGTACATTGATCATTGTGATTTATCATAGTCAATAACTCCATAGTTATGTTACTCTAGTTTTCTTTTTTATAATGTGTAGCATTTTAATAAATGGATGACAAGAAAGTTAGAATGAGCTTATCTAAAAAAATTATCTATCCAGAAGTACAGGATTCCGTTATTGAGGGAACTATGTTACTTGCCTACTTGGACTCTACTTGTCCTTCAATGTGTCACTTGAACATGTACTCGTTGTTGACATAACACACAAGTACCTGAATGGCTGAGTCTGATTAACATGCTGTGGTAACAACATTAGCGTGATTTTTGCTGTCGCCTACACAATCCAACAGGGAGTAAGTACATCAGAAATTTAAAATACCTTTATACATTTTATTGTCTAAAGTCACGACCTTAAGGAATATTTAATCACTATGCTCATATTTACCTATGGAATATTTAAATTATAGGTGGACAACTGGGCAACTGATCAATAGAGCTTCAGGGAGCAAGTACTTAATAATTTCATTAAAGAGGTTTTCAATTTTGTTGAAACTGAAGTTGCAATTGAAACCATGAAAGAATTCATAAACAGATTCTGATTGTCTAAGGCTGACATCGGATTTAAATAACCACAAGCTCATAAGTAACCTATTCTGACATCTGATATTGAGAATACTTCAAAATTATCAAATAACAGCATAGGAACATCAAGTGCAGGCTATTTGTGAACATTGAATAAGACTATTTATTACTTCATATTGCTCAATATTTACCAGAATGTTCTGTTTGTGAAACTGTACGTTTGACGGTTGTTTGGTAGTTTCTGTTTTTTATCTGGCCATTTGGCAAAGATAGTAAAACACCCTTGGCCTGTTAACCTGATGCCGCAATATAACTCTTACTGGATGCTGCTGCCCGCAACTAAAGTAGATGTCAATTATTTTAATACCCATGTGTTTTTTTTTGACAAAGCTGTAGTACATAACCTTTCTGTCTAATTAGTGTGCTTTGTGATGAACTTAATTTCCACATAGAAGTCGTTGGGGATTCAGGACTCGTACTTATGACGGGGTGGTTGGGGGGGGGGGGGGGGGGGGGGGTGGGGGTGGGGGGGGAAGGGGGGAGCTGATTTTTTAAGTGAGGTTGTGCTTAAATTTGGTAACCTTCGTATAATAGTGGATGTTCTTTATGATCCTATATCAGCTACTTGTGAAAATCAGCTGTCAATGAAACTAACATCTTACGGTCCTTTCCTCAGGGCTGCTAAGTTAGGAATGAAGCTGGAATGGTTGGAGGATGGAGTAAAAACAATAATGGGCCCTATCCCAGCTATTAAATACAATGAAAGTAGGCAACGCAAGGTCTGGTTCAACAGCATGGTAGCTGCTTATACAGGTTGGGAAGATGACCGAAATGATCCTGTCAAGGCAGTTACCTTTGGTGATGGAAGACCATTGCCTGCAGAAGTTGTATATGACTGTCTGAAAATTCTTGAAGAGGAAAGTGTTGCTATTCCATGGAAGAAGGGAGACGTCCTTCTAATTGATAACTGGGCTGTACTTCATTCTCGTAGATCTTTTGATCCACCACGCCGTGTGTTAGCTTCTCTTTGCAAGTAGGCAGTAAGTTTCTCTTGTTTACTGCTTTGCATCTGTAAAATATATATTTTTCCACTTATGCTACAAATGATGTATGTTAAACTGCTGTTAGTTAGATGGAATAACAAAGCAAAAGAATGTGTATATATTTGATAATAATGCTGCAAAACTTTCACTAGTGTAGCACAGCATAGTATGTGGGAAATATAGTGCACTTATTTTCCGGACATCTTCTGTGGCTTTGTCAATTATTGGCAATGTGTATGCCTTAGTAACTTTCTGTCAACCATTATAGACTACCTTATTGTCTGATGCAAATTTGTGGTTATTGTAGAATGCTGCTAATTCGCTTAGTTGCTCTCATATTGTTCTACTCGATACCTGTCTATAGTAAATTTAAGAATTTTGAATCAAAGATATGACATCTCCAAATTTAATTGTTGCTTCCGCGTAGTGCACAGAAAAGAACATCTTGTTTACTTCAGAAGCAACTTGATTTAGATACTGGGTAGCTGACAAGGAGAGCTTGCGGTACTTGAGGATGTTACCTAGGATCATTGCCAGACATTCCTATAGAACGTTGCCTAATATATTTACCCCTTTCTGAAATAGAAGAGGGTGACATAATCTCTGTTGTCCTTTATAAAGGTTAAATCCGAACTTGAAAAGTTGTGAAAAAACAAAGATTCAACAGCACCAGACGTGCATTTGATCCAGTTTAAGGTCGAAGGCTTGGTTCTTTACCTTTCTTTGTTGTAAACCGAACTGAAAAATAGTAATAGTAGGAACAATATTACCGGGAATGAGACTGAGTCGCGGACTATGTCGCTCTCTTTAGAACATTCACGGTATTGCCTTGAATTTGTGCAAGCAGCTCGTACGACAACCGGATGCTCCCCAGGATAAAACAGTCTCTCGGAAAAGAAAATTATACCGATGGATTTGCACAGAACCACCGGACAACTAAACACCAAAATTAGGAACAATGCTCGAATAATTTCTGGAAAAAGATTTCTGAAAATATAAACTGTAAGTGGTTTTTTTTTTCCTGTAAAACGGTATTCTGAAAATTGGTGTTCTGTTTGTTGTCGTGTGTAAAACTGTGAAGGAAAAACCATCAATTTACAGAGGGTAGCAAAATGTACCTGGACGGTTTCAGCAAGCAATTAACGGACAGATTAAAGCAAATAATGGACGTAAGTCAAAAACTGGCAAAATTGAAAACGTAAATTAGTTACAAAATCAAGGAATTAATTCTTGTTCAAAAAATTTAAACCCGTTAAAGAAATCCAACCTAACCCAACCCGGCCCGGTTCGGCGCGCGAGTGTGTGTTAGATTGGTTTGGTAGGTAAGTTCTTCCTCTCCACAAAATGACCCCTTTAGGTGACACCCACCTATATAAACTAAGCAAAGCTTTCGTTTTCCACCAATGTGGGACTTTACCATTTTCACAAAATTCACACTTTAAAACAACTTTGTTCCAACATTCTTGGAAACAAATACAGAACCAATACGTTCAAACCCGAGTAATATACACTTCAAGATACTAAACTTTGCAATTTGTATCACATAGGGTACTGAACTTTCATTTGTATCAAATAGAGTACTATGACCTTGACTGGAGGTAACCTTTCCGTTGGTAACCTGTTTTAGCCAGGTTATTCGATTTAAAAAAAAAAAAAAAAATCAATTGTCAGCAAAATACCTCGATTAACGAAAATGCCATCATTACCTTCGTTTGGCGGGAGAAGCGAAAAGGCTATTGCCTTTCCACCACTCATTTTCTGGTATTTAAGGCTTCCCAAAGAAGCTAAAATGATCACTTCTCTTCCTCTTTCGGAAAAAAAAAAAAAAAAAAAAAAAAAAAAAAAAAAAAAAAACAGAGCATTATTTTCTTCTTCGTTTGGTAGCCATTAATGTGGCCAGATGAATCTTCCTCCTGCAAATACTTAAAGCTTTACACAGAAGAAGGTATATTCTTTGTCTTTGTCGTTTTATGTACAATTTTGACAGTGATGTTTTTTGTTTGCTCGTTAATTCGTTATGGTGTTGTTTTGTGTATAAAAATGTGAATTATGACTTTGATGATTTTTTTTTCCACGTTTTTTTTGAGGATTTGGTTTTGTTAATGTGTAATGACCATGAAAAACAAAGTTGATCATATTAATTTTTTTTAATCGATTGAGAATCTGCAATTTAGGTTAAGATTTTGAGTTAATAGGTGTATGGGTAAAACAGGGGTTAACACTTGAATTAGCTAGAAATTGATATGTACCTACATGTGGCCTTATGTATGGACGCACTTGCTCAAGCTCACCCTATCTTCAGCCAACAGGACCTCCTTGTCACCCACATTTTCAAAAAAATTGATTGGGAGGATGAAATGAATGTCCAGCCACTACAAGAATCAGGCCGATTTAAGATGGAAAGCTTCCGCCAGACATGTTATTCCATCGGAAACATAAAAAATTCCGACAGATTTTTATTCCGTCGGAATTTATATACTTTTCGACGGATTTTCCGTCATAATATATTTTAAAAAAAAAAAAGGTTTTTCTAAGCTATGTCAAAGTTATTGAATTTCTAAGGTGTATCCATACTTTTTCAAGTTATAAGTTGTGCCGTTCACCTCACGATATTTTATCAATATTATCCTTTGACAACCATATCTGTTAACGGACGTTAAGTGACGTTATTAATTCGACAGTGTCTTGTTCTAATTGGTCTAATACTTTAAAAAAAATTAAAAAATCAGAAAATAAAATAATTAAAACTTAATTAAGAATTAATTGGAAAAAAAAACAACCACTCTTCCCACCACCACACAACCCAACCCATTAGCCCACATCGTGGCCGTCGGCAACCGGCTTCCCACCCTCGCCCAACCCAACCCAAAAAACCAACCACCCTCATTCCTCCGTTAAACCACCACGAAACAGCCAACAATCCTTTCCCCCACCTCGAAATGACCCTCCCTCGCCGTTTCGGGGTGTGGGAAAGGGAGTTGGGGGTTGTTTCAAGTGGGGGAAGGAAGGAGGAGCGTTGTCGGGTGGTTGGGATTTCGAGAAAGAAGGTAGATGCGGCGGGGGTTAGGGGAAAGGGAGGGGGTGGGGGTGGGGGTGGATCTGATGGGAAGGTAAAGTACCGACCGGCCGGTTTAGGTGGTTAAGGTGGAGTGCCAGCCGATTTTTCGGCGAGTTTAGGGGAGGGGTTAGGGTTTGGCGGTGGGGGGAAGGTGGAGGTGGTCGGGGAATTTTGGTTTTTTTTTTTTTTTTTGTTTTTGTTTTTTATTTGTAATTTTTTTGTTTTTATTTTTATGTTATTATTATTTTTAATTTAACGATTTTAGTAACGCCACTTAACATTCTCCAACGTCCGTTAACTATTGTGGTTGTCAAAGGTTATTGTTGGTAAAATACATGAGGTGGAGGGCAGAACTTATAACTATGAAAAAGCAAGAGTACAGCTAATAAATTCAATAACTTTAGGAGCATAGATTAGAAAAATCCAAAAAAAAAAAGAGCCCTACAAAGAAAACCCTAAGCCACCTCTCTTTTCCGCCTCTTTTCTTTCTCTTTCCCTTTCTCCTTCTCTCTCTAGTTCTCTTTCCTCTTCTTCTTCTCTTTCTCTGTCCTCTTCGTTCTCTTTCTCTCTCCTGTTTTATTTCCTCTTCTCATTCTCCTTTTATCTCCTCTTCTCTTTCCTCCTCTTCTCGTTCCCCTTCTATCTTTCCTCATATATCCCACCACCACCGCCAACCCTAACCACCGCCGCAACAACAACACCAATATCGACATGAATGAAAACACCATTACATAAATCAACATTAACGGAGCAAAACAAAGGAGATTTTCTGGTTAAATTCTAGATTTAGAGTTTTCATGGTCGAATTTGGCCTTGTTAACCCAATTTCGAGGTTGCGTGTGGTCAAATTAAGGTATGTATCTCTTTTTTTTGTTAATTTTGATTTTGTTTTGTTTGTATTTTTTTCGGGTTTTTTTTTGAAAATTTATGGTGGTGGTTGGTAGTGGAGTTCGGTGTGGTGGGGGTTGGGTTGGTAAATCTGGGTTTTATTGTTAGGATTTTATTTATTTATTATTTTTTTTTAGGTTGCAGTGTCGTGGTGGTAGGGAACCGGTGGTGGGTGGGGTTTAAAATTGTTAGGGTTTGGGGTAGGTTAGTGGTGGTTTATGGTCTGTGGGGTGTAAATCGGGGTTGGAGCTGGGGTTGTTTGGTGGTGGGGGCTGGTGGTGGTGTTACGGTGGGGGCTATCGGTGGTGTGGGATTTTTTCTTTTTCTTTTTGTTACAGTGTTTTTCAATGTAATTTCCCTCAGTAATTTCCGGCAGAATACTTTCTGTCAAAAATTTCCGACGAACATTTCCGGACCAGAAAATCACTTTCGTTGCCAGAATTCCATCGGAAAAAGGCATTTTTCCGACAAACACTCTTACGACGATAGTTTCCGATGGAATTATGTCGAAAACATGTTTTTCGACGGAAAACATGGTGTTTCTTATGGAAAATTTTCGTTAAAAATCACCTGTTTTCTAGTAGTGAGCTGGTGTGCAAGAAGTGGAGAATTTGGTGGCGCCTCCGTCAATTGGCTTTCCGTCTCCCCTTCTTTGGGCTATGGGCTACATTCTGCTGTGGCGGAGTAGATTCTGCAGGAAATCATCTTCAATAGAGGCAGGGACTTCCATGCCTAGATGATGAAGGACATGACTGTGTACTTCGATAGATTCCCTCTGCTGTTGAAGGAGGAGGAGAATTAGGAAGGGGGTAGGCAGCTAGGGTGGTCTATTTTTGGAGCAACTAATTAGGAATGGATGTATAGTCATGATGCTGCTTTGTTAAGCTAATTTAGGAGTTTTTATATCAATTTTAATGTCATGGAAGGTAGTTTTTTAAAGTGACAAAATGTAGGGCCTTTTGTGATTTTGTCACTACCATGACATTGTCTAGTTTAAGTTTATTTTCTCTAGTTATGTAAACAATTAACAATGATGCTGGTGTTTGTGGTGGATGTTTATATATGAAGATGGTTAATATTTATATATATCTTTGATAATTTAAGTTATGTTTATTTATATGTTTGATGATCATGGTTTGGGTGTATTGTTTGATTGTTTGATTGATTGTTGTTATTGTAATATGTTTATATTGTTCATAACTGAATTGTGACACTTATGTGATCATAAATGGATTATTGATAGAAAATATGGCTTTGAACCCTTTCATTGTGGTTCATCATGGTGGGGAATGGCTTGTTAGGGATGACATGTTTTGTAGTAGGGGT